CCCCCACGCTATCCCCTTCCTCCACCCTCCTCGGTCGATTTTCTTTCCCTGTTCAACTTGTACTGAAAAAAATGTCCTTTCTTTATCAAAGCCTTTCTCATTGCAGTCAGCATTAGCTTGCCATTCCTCGCATGCTCCCCGCTCCCCGCTTGTGCTTTATTAGCATTTTACTCCAGGTATTAAGAAAATAAGCCTGATCCTATTTAAGAATTGTTTAAAATTCCACATTCAAGCTTGCGTAGATTTTTTCAAACTCGAACTCAGCAGAGGTCACCGCCTGGGGGGGGGGAACAACATTAACGTGAGAACGGTCTTCACTGAAGAAGTTTGAGCAGCCCTGTCCTTATCCAATTTTCCTACACGTGCCGGTTTAGATGTTGGCTGACCCGGTGCAAATCGTTCGTCTTCCCATGCAACAGACATCTGCTCTCTAATGCTATTAACCTGACTTCGCTCGGATGGGAATGTTTGGGAGAGTTACGATAACATCACATAGGATGGAAACCATATTGGCATGGTCGTCAGTCCGGATAGATCAGTTATCTCGTGATAATTCGGAAGCGCGCCAAAGCTTTGGTAGTGCGTAGGGGTCGCGTCGAGTTGGTTGTACTGTATATTTCTTCAGCTCATCGATAATTAACAGTGTCAAACTCCTCAAGTTAAGTTTGAAAACATGGTAGTACGGTTTAGTTACTGACCAACAACTTCTTAACTTTCCTTGATTGTGAGCATCGTGCGTTCGCTTACCGAGTGTCTTATCTGCGTGTCGCGTGTCATTAACTTACCGCAGAGAATCTACCCTTTGAGGAATGAATGCCTCACCCAGTGTTCTTTTCCCTGGCCTTAGGACAACGTGCATCCTCTGTCACGGCTGTTTTATCTGTCTTTTAAATTTAGTGGCACGAATCGTCAGTTGTTACGGCAGCAACTTGACGCCCGTTTTGTCCAGTCAGTATTCCGTGTTTTATTTGATTGCTCAGCTTTACACTGATGAGCATTGTCACGTAAACCCAGTCTAACCTAATCTCACGGTGTTTTTCGCTGATGATGTTGCACTGTTCTTGCCAATGTAACCTTTTAATGTCATATAGTTATAAGTCCCGCTAGCCAAGTCTCCGTGTTTTACTAGTCAATTTATGGCAAGCACACCAGTCACATGGAGTGTCATGGTTACACGCGCATCTGTATTTTTTTCCTACCGCTGCTACTCTGGAGAGGGGTCATAGTATTTTGTAATGGGCGATTCACCTCATTCTTGGATGTCTTACTTCGGGAGACTTTACTTCCAGTTCACTCACTAAGCTGTGTCAAAAAAATATTTGCTTCTCCCAAACAAATTCAAAAACAATCATCTGTTATTTTGAGTAGTTGTTAAACGTCTACTAAAGAGTGTCCTGAACTGTTAGTGGAGGTCATGTGCTTGCAGAAACTCGTGAGGTTTAATCATTTATATGAATATATGGACTTCGCCGATCTAGTAGAGGAACAATTAAGTTCCGCTTTGCCCAGGAGCTCACAATTAAAGCCCGCGCAGGCAGTCACATTTATTTCATCATCCTATCA